CAAGAGAGCAGGGGTTCTTGGCTGTTCAGCTCACCACTGAATCCCTGATGCCTAGAAGAGGGCTCAGTGCACAGTAGATGCCATTGGGTGGACTCTGGACTCATGTGACATTACTTGCAAAAGAAGAAAACACTGCCCAGTCCTGCATTAGCCTCGCTGCCACCAGCATGTTCAAGCCCATCGTTGTGGCTGTTGTACCAATCCATCTCACCGAAGGTCTCCCACACCCTTACTGGCCCTCTGCTTCACCAAACATGATGTCCTCCCATAGCATTGATCCCTTCTGACAGTGTGTCCAAAGCCAGTGAGTCAGACCAATGTTCCACTGCACCCCATAGCGTTGATGTTCAAGAACGTTGAGGGAATACCTTTTGAATGACATGTAATGTGCAAACCCTGGCAACTCCTATGTAATGTGCAGTGTGGGGAAACCTTTGCAAAGCTTGAAAGAAGTCACTTATTAAATTCCAGTTGGAAGATAAATGTGAATTTTGTAAACAACACCCCCAATAGCCTGCTGCATCTTCTAAATGATTGCCTCTGAGACAAGGCCTCAGTTGACCCCATCCCATTCCCTTCCCCGCTCTCATTACATTTCCTACAGCAGGCAATGATGGGGTAGTCACTTTGGTCACACCGCAGGGTGATCCCCAGGTAGGCGACCACCAGAAACCCCTTCTCCCAGTCCCTCGGAGCAGTTTCAGGTTTCTGAACACTAGAAAACCCACAGAGGAACCCAAAGCAGTGGCCATTTGGGTATTTGCCTTAAAGAGATGCACGCGCACTGGCCTTCTGGTGGCAACAATTACGGCAGCCACTCTGAAGCCACATGACAGTCCACCGTTGTCAGCTGAGGGCTTGCAAATGCTCGCTGTACTTTTCTGTGGCTGGCAGAGGAGTCTGGCCTCCTGCCCCAGGTCGTGGCCTTGTTGGCCTGGTCCCTGTGTGAGCGCTTGGCCTTTCGCAGGCAGGCCATACTGTGTGTAGCAGTGGTTCCAGTGACTGCCACCT